AGATTTTCAATTTATTGACTGCCCAAGATCCACATTGCCCACTTCAATTCACCAATCTCAAACTAAAGCATGTTGCTCTTGGCATCGCTTTCAAGGATATGGAATCAAATCCTGCTTTCACCCAAGTGAGGGGCTATGAGTCTTCACCTCATTTGGGATCTTAAATTTGGCATTTATTTTATTTTGGGTGTAATTAGCATAAAATCAAACAAAAGACGTCAAAACAAATTATAGCCGGCATCTGACTGACCAATAGGGAAAGAGGGAATTAACAGTCGGCAGCCGACAATTAAACAAAGAAAAGAAAAAGGTTAACAAATTTGGCCACAGAAAGATTGAGGAGTGGGCCAAAAAAAAGGGTTTTAAGTCCCCAAAAGATTCAGTTAGTGCTCTGGATGAGTGAGAGGTTGAGATAATTGCTTTGGGTAGCCATAATATACTACTCTACTTAACAGTTAGTGCTCTGGATTTCTGCAACCAAATCAAAGAGAAAGGAAGTGATTAAGTAAATGTAAATAAAAAGTTCGATCAACTCTTTGTATTGTATGTTTGGGAGTGCTTGTGGAATGGCTAAAAGCCATTTTCGACAACAAAAAAAACGTATTAGCATACACAAGAAACACTTGGATTTTTAATGAAAATATCGAATTTCTTCTAATAGAAGTTTTTCCAACAAAAGCAATTATGATCGAAAGTGCATCCTATACAAAAAGTTCTCAAACAAACCGACCTTATAAGATTAATCATATAATAGTGCAATGATTTCCATGAAAAGTCGCTAAAGCTGGTGCTGTGCAATGCTAGACCAACCAGAAAGGAAATGAAGAGGAAGTGGTGAAGGTGGCTGGAATATTCCTCACCAAACCTAAGAATCTTATATCCAAGTCCAGGCAGAGCAAATCTTATAACCTTTTTTTTAGTGCCATGTGGGTATCATAAAGCTTAGAAAAACAGCAATGGTTTCTCATCTTTATATATAACATAAAACCTGCCAGCCACAACCACGGGCATTGAGCTTTAACAAATGATCAGAATTTCCTGATAAGTGCCGGAACGGAACTACCATAGGACAGCCGATTGTCAATTGATATTTGAGAACAATTTGATCGAAATACAAGGACAACACCCAAAAAAGAAAGCTCTGTCTCGGAGCTGCTTATTTCCTTACAAGGAAAGCCTCCAACTAAACAATACACAGAAACATGACAATGCAACTGATCAAATAGAAATCCCCAAAGACTTCTTGAACTTTTCAACCTCCAAGTATACTGTGGAGTAAGGGAGGAATTCTTGGAAATATTCTTTGCTTAAGTCATTTATTGCGACAGCAAGTTTGGGGATCTCCAAGGTCTCTTCATGCGTCAGGGTTCGGACAAACCTTGCTGGGTTTCCAGCCCAAAGTTCACCAGTTGGAATTCTTCTCCCTGGGGGAACGACAGATCCAGCTTCAAGGATAGCATGGGTCTCCACCAAGGAACCTTCCATGAGAATCGAATGCTGCCCAATAATGCATTCTGGCTCAATTGTACACGACCGTAACAGACTGTATGCACCAATAGTCACAAACCTCTCAATGGACGTCTCTGCTGGAAGTCCTGAGATAAGGAAAGGGGCCACGTATTGTAAAACTCAGAAAAAATTCCACCATATCTACAACTAGGGATTGCTCACTTGCACATTTTAGACATTTTCATTTAGAAACTTGCTAGTTGCTATGCATGTCAAGACAAAACATCAACAACTAGTAACAATGGAATATAAAGGAGTCGCTATGACGTTGTAGGATGGACTAACAAGCCATGTATTTTTAAGTTTCATCAAGTATCCTTACTAGAAATATTGATATATGCTCCTTTTATGAAGCGACGGGTCAGATGATCATATTCATAACAAGTTGATGAAATTAAAGTTGGTCTCTAGGTAGGACCAGGAACAATGTAGAGGTCTACCTGTGGAAAATCAGTCTAAAGCAGAAATCCAAGGGAGAAAACTAATTAAGGAAAAAAATCTCCAGGGTTATATGCTAAATATTAGAACTTGAAGGAGATTTCAAACTCTTGAATGAAGTGAACTTAAACCTAATTATAAGCTTGAAAGTTCAAAAAGTTTAAAGCAAGAGATGTTACATGTATAACAGGTTCAGAAAAGGCCACTTCAACAACCTGTTTAAAAACATTATATAAATCCAACTAATCAACATTACAACTTTCTCACTTATCATATAAAATAAAATTTTCTCCACAAATGCTACTGAACTCATCCTTCAATATTTATTGAAACCTGCTGTTCCTCAAAGCAGAGAAGTTCTAATCATATAGTGCTTGACACCCATGCCTAGCATATCAGTCTGCCCACAAATTTGGGCAACGGAAAATGTACAAAGGATAGCCTAAGAGACCCCATATTGGAATAGAAAATCCAAATGGCTGAGGCAATTGCACGCTACCTCCTCCCCAACTTTGTTTTAAAAAACTCTTCTATTTCTTTATGCTCAAACCACACAAAAAATAGCCATCGCATTACTTCCACAAAACAGTCGCTTTCTCCCCACCAACAAAAGCACAATGATTCTCAAAGAACAATGAAATGTATGAAGCCAGAATCACCCACAACGACTTTGCTTCCCATAAACAACATGTGTCATAGGCGCAATTAAGAAAAAGATGGTCAATACTCTTGGAAACCTTTTCGAACATAATGCACCAATGGGGTGACACAGAGAATTAGGTCCTATCCTTTGAATAATATCCCAAGTCCTACCATGAGCAATAATCCAAGTACAAACTTTCACCTTGCAAGGCTCTCCTTCCCAGAAGGATTAAAATTGGGAAAGGATAACTCATCAATCACTACTCAACAATGGTTGCATGGAAATAGACCTGAGGATTCAATTTCCCAATCTTCTATCCAATCTAAATGATTGTAAAGAAAGAGACATTTATATCAATGAGAGACTATAGAAGAAATCTCCCTAACTTCCAAACCATTCAAATTCTACAAAAACAAAAATTCCACCTCCTTGGAAAAAAAGACACAGCAGACACATTGGCAGATTAGGAAACATTCCACACAAAGGAGAATCTCCAATTCATTTATCCTTCCAATCTAACTCTTTCCAAATCCCCATGTGAGGAAAGAAGGAAATAATGACATGGTGAAATGTCTTTACAATGACATCAACTCGAACCTATAGCCACTATTTCAGAACCCCACTATTGACATATATATTTTCTTGTGATGGGTATGCCAAAGGGCTTCCCCCTTCCCCTTCTCTCTCCGCCACCACTTAACTAAAAGAGCAAGATTTATAATTTCAAATTGTCCACCCCACCTCCTATGACCTATTTTGGTTTATACAACTTCCCACCCAAACAGACGATGCCTTTTTTACTTCTCCAAATCCCTCCCACAAAAAATATTCACTAGTTTCTGTTTCTTCATCCTCTTAAGTCATTGCTCAAATCCAAAAAGGAGATAAATATAAAATCACCAAGCAGCTCAAAGCTGACTGAACTAGTGTAAGTCTAAACTTTAGATAAGTCCACCACTTTCCATCGTCCCCATCTTTTCTCCCTCACCGGAGCCCAAAAATTAATAGCTCGGGGACTACAGTACACCTAGTGGAAGACCCAAATTTACGACAAGATTCCAGTATTTACTTATCAATTTCAAGTTTTTTTTAAACCACATTTTCAGCTAAATCAGCCAAGCCCATACACAGAAACTATACTCAGTGTAGCAATTTAAAACTACATTCAGGTGTTAACTCGTTTCAAATCGAACAATTAACAGAACCTCAACCAAATTCACTATCTAAATAACAAATTAAGAAATTAATTGAAGGAAAAAGAAAAAACCGACGAAAACTAGGAAATTGGGGAACCTACCTGTAGGGGAAGACCAAGCAGCATGAAGGACACAGCGTTCCTGAACATTGGAGCAGAAGCCGACGGTGATCTTATTGAGATCACCGCGTAGGACCGACCCGGGCCAAACGGAGGCTCCGTCGTTGACCGTGACCTGTCCGGCCAAGACCACGTTGGGTGCCACGTAGGCGTCGACGGCGATCTTCGGCAGCCACTGGCCTAGCGGGATTATCTTTCTCTGACCTCGGTAGTCCCATTTGACCCGATCCGGCGAGGGTGTTATGGCCGCGGATTTTGATGCTTCGGCGGCGAAGGTGCGGTGGAGTGAGGTAGGCTGGGCTGAGCTGGAGAAAGAGGTTAGGGCTTTTCTGGAGATGCGAGCTAAGGCCGCCATTGGAGAGAAGCAGAGAAAGAGAGAGAGAGAGGTAGTTTGGGAGTGGAAGCTGGAAATGGAGGAGAGTGAGGTGGGAGAGTGGTTTGGTTTGGATGTGGGCCGGAGATTGTGATGTGTACTGTAAATTGGGCTGAAGCCAGATAACTATTGTTTGGCCCAAATTCCCAACTATCAATTACCCAATTGATGTATAAGTTAATAGTGATTTTATTTGTACCACATTTACTCATTACATTGCATAATTTGTTGTACTTCTTTGATAGATCAACGGCATAATTAATCTAATTAAAATGCATATATAGATTCTGCGAATTGGCCAAGGGAGTGTGCTTCTTCTTTGCACCCAAGTTCGATCATAAGTATTTTAGAATATCGCTTTATAAAAAACAAAACAAAAAAAGCTCAAATGAGTGAGAATTAATTAGTTTTTTCTATTGTTCTCGTAATTTTGTATGTACAAGTTCTTGGCATGTGTATGTATGGATGTTATCGAATCTCTTTGTAATTTAATAAGAAGTTTTCTTTTTTTATATTTTTTCTTTTCATTTGGGTAATTAGTTGATCATGATCAGCATTTGTACCATATATCTTCTGGGTTCTTTCTGCACTACTTGTGCTTAGTACCTAACATAGACTTCATTTCTTTTGATAGAATGGTTCTTAATATAAGTCAATCTGCTTGAAGAATTTTACATATAATTATAAACAATACGTCGTATACCATGGTGCCCACACGTTAATAAGACGTTCGAATGAAAACAGAACTGCATATATTAAACTCCATACACAAGAGAAAAATGAAAAGAAAGAAAAAAGCATTAGAAACCCAAACTTTAGGTACAAATAGGAAATAGCTGAAGGCACTATCACTGCCTTTACAAATCAAGTACTTGGTGCGAGAGATCATATATCTTGAAGAATCTTGAATCTCAAAATTCACTGTCACATACCAGAATATAATTATTAGTTAAAATATGATCAAGCCATTAGCTTATTGAGAAAGTAAATAAGAAATTGTCACATCAGTTTATAGCACCATGAATAAGTACCTAGGAAATGAATTGCATATATGCATTTGGTCCCGAAATCCTTGAGCTTGAGGGATCAGCATAATGAAGCTCATGGAGCTTAACCTCAATTCACAAGACAAATCAGTATGCGTGTGAAACTGAAATATCCAAACTATATGCATATTTATATTATTTCAAAGTAATTTGTAAAAGCAACTCACTCTTTTTTGCAGACGACTGTTTTCTTCTTGCAATGCTTTATGCTGCATTTCATATACAGATATGAAAAATTAAGAGATGTTTAGTCATATATTGATACTTAGCATTAATGATATAGGTAAACTCTACACTATTTAATTTCTATAACCAAACCCAAAAAAATGACAATTGGCCCTATTGAATTTAATGCCCTATTGAGTGTTTTGGGTTTTTTTTTTTTAATGAGGTTTTGGGGTTTGGTTTGTTTTAAGAAATCGATGGTAGTTTTGTAATTTATAAGAAGTTAAAAGTCTCTTTGTTATGTTCCAAAGTCCATTTCATATATGATTTAAAAAAAAATAATAATTTAAGCTCCTATATTTGATATAATAGTGAATCACCCAAAAATTAATTTATGTACGTCCAAAGTAATAATCCATTTAGGGTTGGTGGTAAGAAAAAATAATAATAAAAAAATAAAAGGAAAGTTGAAAACCATTCCTATTTAGTATTTAGCTATGGTTAATTCTTAATATATGGAATATTTTTACTCACCACTTTAACTCAAGGTGTATGTTCACCATTTTTCTTAATACTTGACATATGTCCATAGGCATAATCATGGTTAACTTTTTACTTGGATTTATATAACCATGATTATGCTTATGAACATGTGTCAAGTGTTGAGAAGGGTGCTAAGCATATAGGGACGAACCCAAGATTCCGAATTGAGGTAGGCTTAATTTGCTTTCTAAGTGCAGCCAACCAGAGCCAATTCGTGAAGGGGTATTGCTGCTGTGTGAGTGGGCTTGGGGCAAGCTAAAAATTTACTTTGGGTTGTAAAAAATTAAAAGCCCCCATGGATGTAGCCCAGGTAAGAATGCACTAAGGTTCGTGCCTGTGAGCATACACCTTAAGTTAAAAGTTGTGAACAAAAATGCTCTCGTTATAATTACCTTTCCTTTCAGCAAGCTGATGTTCTCCGAAATGACCCGTCCCTGCGAATTAATCACAAGTCACAATCAAATTAATCTTTCTAGTTTACGCAACTTTTAATGATGATCATTAACTTATGACTTGAACAAAGTAAAACAGAAGTTGGTGTGATTAATTAGTTAATTCTTAAACATACCATTTGAGAGCGGATGCGTTCAACCCCAGTTTTCAACTGCCGCTCGAGCTGTTTTAGCTCTTGCATGCCCAGCATATCAAGCTCTTCCCCAGCCAAGTTCCTGCGTACAAGTCATATATATATATATATATATATATAATTCCATTTTAATGATAATTAAGGTTAAATTACTAAAACAACCATAATTAACACACGGCAAATTGATTTTTAGTGGGTGTAAAAACCTACTTCAGCCTCATTTCCAAGTTGTCTATTGATCTCCTTAGCTCTTCATTTTCATTATTCCTCCCAAACTGTGAACAGACAGACAGAGATTATATTATAGCTAAATCATACATAACATAAGATGATTACAATTAGCTCACCTTCATGTGACATGAATTAACTAAAAAAATTAAGAATTAGAATCCCAAAATAGAAGAGAAGTTGTGTCCCGTGAAAATAGGACCCCGTGTTTTTATTTTGATTTTTAATATGAAAAAGGTTAATTTACTATATTGTCCTTATTTAATGAAAAGTTTCAATGCTTAATAAATTCATTAACCATGGGCAATTTTTTTAGTATTTTGAATGTTTTACCATTCTCTATCTTTTTGCTTTATATATAAATATACCTCCATGGTTCTGGCCTGTCTGAAGCTTGAGTTGTTTGATTCAGGCAGACCCACTTGATTCCTATACATGGCAATGGTCCTGTTTATGCTGCACCACAGATCAATAATCCTGGTTTTACTGCTAGTTGTTTATAATTAAACATGCACCAAAGTTCATTAAGCGGTAATTAAAAGTGATGTATTAATTAAGGATGGGGAAGACGAACTCATGGCTTGAAAATTGGTAGATCTTGCCAGAGGGAGACAAGATGATGAGTGCAACTTCAGCATCACATAAGATGGAGAGCTCAAAAGCCTTCTTCAGAAGCCCATTTCGTCGTTTTGAGAAGGTCACCTGCCTGCTTGTTGGGTTTTCTATTCTCTTCAGCTCCACTTTCCCCCTCCCCATTTTACTATATCACAGTTCAAATCTTATCACCCTATCATACTATATCAATATTTATATATATATATATATACACATATGTTTAAGTAGAAGAATAAGCTATAGATGATTCTATTTACAAGGTTGGTTAGTTTGATTTGCTTTGACACGACGCCACTACTCAAATTCCCCTTTTGCAATCATCCCTCCTCTTTCATTATTATTTATTTTACTATGACCCCCTACCCTATTCATTCACTTTTAGTTACGTGAATTTGCAGCATGTTTCTGATTAAACCTAACCTAGCTAGGTAGTTTGTGGGGTTTAAAACCGCGGTGCGAAGATTTTGACTCGAAATCTCTAACAAAGTGAAGACTAAATGACACTAAACTAAATAGTTACGGTATTATTAATTACGTACCCGTGTATATCCTAAACTTTCACGCAAGTTGAGCACTTAAAAAACTATATTGTTTGAATTAGCAGTATTGTCAACAAATATTGGAATATAGTAATGCTAATAAGATATCATCTCTTCATGTAGAATATTCCGTCTTTGTGGGAGATGGGACTTAATACCAATATTGTCAATAAATATTCGAATAGAGTAATACTACTCTTACCACATTTGTATACCATATTTGTATACCACCTTATGTAGGTGGATGAGGTGGACAGCCACATCAATTAGAATTAATTTAACATTTTCTTTTCTTTTATGATTTATTGACACTTTTTAATTGATATGATTGTCCTCTTTTTTTTGGTTACATTGGGAGGAAGGAGACCCCTTGGGGTTTCGAACCTGGGTTGTCAAGCAAGGGGAAGGGGGAGGCCACCACTGTGGTACCTGCACTCGACTTATGATTGTCCTCTTCATGTGCCACATAAGTGGTATGTGAATGTGGTATACAGATGTGGTGAGAGTAGTATTACTCTATTCGAATATTTGTTGACAATATTGGTGTTAAGTCCCATCTCCCACAAAGGCGGAATATTCTACATGAAGAAACTCATCTATACAAGTGAGTTTGAGTATGATGTGTGCATTTAATATTATATATATTGATATCACATGTTAATATGTCCTTAGTCAAGTTGGCTAGAACAAATTTGCTCTCCACTCTGTATCCGAGTTCGAATTCCCTTTTGCATAATTTACAATAGAACATTATTTGTATAAATTATGTCAACTAAAGAAGTGACATATCTTTATGCAAGAGATGCAAATATGAAACATGCATTTGCATATATGCCATGTCAGTTATACTCCAATATAAATTGCATGTTGCGATAAATATCAATCAGCAGTTGACACGTAAAACTTAGAACTGAAGAAAGAGGAGAGGGATGGGACGTACATGGGTTGCAAAATCAAACACATCAATGGCTTTTTGAATAATTGAAAGAGAAAAATATGTTGGCAAGGTCAAAAGAAAAAAAGTTTTTGTTGGGATTTACAAGAAAATGTGGTGAGTGACAAACAAAGCGTCAAATTATGGCTTATCTTCAAGGGGTTTCATGGAGACATGTTATGTTAAGTCAAGATTGGAGCTATATGCCTCAATGGTGGTCCGCCTCACCATGATGCTGATGGATTCAAACCTAGGACATTACCACTTGCACTGTGGGAATCTTTGAGCTTAAGTATTGTACAAGTTCTCTCTTCTCTTGTAAATTTATGAAAATTCGATATTCTTTGAGACACTTGCAAACACAAAAGGGGGATTTTGAATAGCTTTCTTGCTCATATGTACGCGAGTTCACACTTTGATGAAAAGAAAAGCAAAAAAAAAAATATATATGAAAATGCAATAGGCTCTCACAATAGTACTTTGTTATTGTATACGAGTTTCACATCGTATCTGAATGAAAAATACTTCGCTCTCTACATGTTAGCCTACAAGGAGTTTTTACATATAAATCATAATTATTTGACACGTACGCAAAAACTTGGGTTACAAGCAATATTGTACGTGAATTATGATTGGTTCATACAAGTTTTTCTAGGTACATATCCACTCATACTTAAGTTCAAAGTCAGTTGCAGTTAGACTCCAACTAGACTTGAACCGAAAGCGAAAACATTTGCAATTGCTCATGTGAATATCAATCACTTTTGTCTGAAATTCCTCATCTAGGATTGGTTACAACAACATGTGATTTAAGAGAAAAATGGCAAACACGTCTCCCACATTTTCCTTTCTATGTCTCTTGTACAGCAAACCAGCAATCAAATCTAAAAACTTTATAATTAAATCGAACATGGTGTTACATCTTTAAAAGTATACGCATTTTTATTGATTGGGCTAAGCTCAAAGCTGAAACACGTGTTCGTCAAGATTTGATAACTTTCTTCTAAGTGAGGGGGCCGGGGGCGGGGAAAGGGGTTGAATTTCGGATCTCCTGAGCAATGACACGCGGGGCTAGATTATCATTACCTAACCCAATTGCTCCACTTTCTTTTTCGATCCACTTTCTTTGGCTCTTCATTTTCTATTCCCTTGTATTGTATTTGTATGGTTCATTAAAAACTTTTTTTATTTAAAAGTTGGTCCTAAAGTGGGTGTGACAGTGTACTCGACCCTTTTCTCAAATTTGATATTCCTGTTTAAACTTTCGCTTGTTTTAATCAAAAAAGTATTAAACTTTAGGGTGCATTTACTTATATTATTTATTTTCATGCAAATGATATTAAAAAAAGGAAATCGAATCTATGACCTCAAGTCTCCTAACCAACTGAGCTTGAGCTACATGCCCTTTGCAGGAGAAACACTCGTGTGCAACGGGAATAACACTGTTTTTGTATCTCCTGCCAATCACGCTATGTCACGCTTGATAACTTTTCCAATTATCATAGTATGATTTTTGGGATAGCAAAACAGTGATATTCCCTATTTCATACAAGTTTTTCTGCCCTTGTAGGGTGCATTTATTTACGCGGGCCGAATTCATTCGTGGAGAGTGTAATGGGAAATGATACAGGTGACCCAAATTCTTTCTAGCAAACACCAATAATTTCTAGCCCACAAAAAAGCCCAAAAGCATGACCAAAATTCATAGAATGTAGTCAATAATTTCCACATCAGAGAGGGAATTATGCCAAAATATGACAAAATAGGTGAACTTCATAGCCATCCATTTCATTGGATTGATTGAGGCATAGATTAGATGGATGTGCCCCTAGTAAATACTAATTAGGAATCCATTAAAAATCAGGAGCTGCTAAACCATTAAAACTTGCATCAAAATCCCAATAAAGCTGCTCCTGTCCTGCTAGGTTTAGACCAAAGGAAATGCTACTACCAAACAAAGCTTCATGATTCAAAGTAAAAGCAATACCAAATTTTGCAATAGATTTATAATACACAAACTAATTAAACATGGTAAGAAATTAAATGTCAGATGAAAGCAAACTCTAAATTCAACTGAAATACAATATAATTAATCAGCCAGCATAGATGTGAACACCAATGGCAATGAGGAAGATGGTGATGAGGCCAAAGTAGATGATTGTGTGAACCACAATAGAAGCGCCACTGGTCTGCATGTTCCCAAACTCCACCACCCTCCCCTTTCCGGGTATCTGAAACAAAAGCCCCGGTGTCAATAGCACAAAGAGCACCACTGCTATCACCACAGGACCCCAGTCTGCCATTTTTCTCTGCAAAACCTAAACTAGAAGAAAACCAATAAGAAGAAAATACTAGATGGGTTTCGAAGAAGAAGAAGATCTGAGAAGGGCAAGTGGGGTTTTGGAAATTTGAAGAGATTTGAGGTTGGGAACATAAAAGAATGGACAGGGGCCTTGGTATCATGTGTTTTTCTCGTGACAAGAGGCGAGCTCAACGGTGCTGAGGCTAATATGTGTCAGGATCTTGTTTATTTGGTTTCGACGGCTGTGATCTTCTTGGATAGTATGATGAGGATAGAAATTTATAATAAAAAAACAAAAGAGGACCAGCCCAGCGATTAGGCGCCAATGTGTCAAAATACCAGAAAATGCCATTGATTAATGCAAACATTATTAATTAAATTAGGATAATATGGTAAATTCACACTTTTTCATATTAAAAAAAATTAAAATTAAAAGAAAAATTAGATAATGAATCCTATTTTTATGGAATACAACTACCTATTATCTTTTTTAATTCTAAAATAAATTTTAAAATTTTTTTTAAAAACCTCTTGTAGGCGTGAAAACGCGTGAGGTGAGGCTAGTATATAGAAGATGAAAACAATCACAAAAAGGAAGCCAACAAAACAAATGAGATGTTTATAGCAATGAACTCACCATAACCTGATGCAATGAATTTAAGTCCTGTTGTGCCTAGATAATTACAAATTTATGAAAAAATTAAGAAAAAAATCAAAGTGAAGGGCCCTTATTAGACTGGATTGATTGACCATATATGAATTATGATTAACTGGATTGATTGACATGAAGAAGACGCATGGAAACAGATAGGCGCCCAATTGTCCATTCTTCCTTTCCTACAAGACTACAAGTCTAAGTTTAAGGGCTCGTTTGGGAGTGTTTCTTCCTAAAGCGCTTATGCCAGTAGAGCTTATGTTAGTAGCACTTATGACATAAGCGCTTCTACAAAGAAGCAGTTTGTCGTTTGGATGTCACATTTAAAAGTGCTTTTACACTACATAAAAGCGTTTCTGATATTTTGTTGAGTGTTTGGTTGACACAGTAAAAGCGTTTTATAGCATTGGCAACCCTTCCCAGTATTTTAATCTCTCACAAAGCCATATATGTTTTCCATTAATGCATCTGTCTCTTTCCTTTTCATTCAATTTCAATCAAAATATATGGAAAGTATGTATGTGCTGAAATTTGGAAGTAGTGAGCGAGGGAGTGACTGAGGCAACAAACAGACAAACAAGCCATAAATTTAAGCAAAAGGGAAAACACCAAAAAATTCAAAGAAGAAAAATAAACATGAGATATGCGCCTGTAAAGGGTCGGCTTCCTTGTCTTTTGTCTCTCTGTCTGTGTGAAAAGCCCAAGTGGGTTTTGTCTTTCTGGGTTGCTTGCTCCTTTCTCTTTCTTTCCTTCTTTTCTGTCTCGGGTTGCTGTGTTTTTGGTATATTTCAAGGCTAAAGAAGCTAAACTGAAGCTGTTTATTGCTGGGAAGATAATAGATGCAGGCAGATATGATTGAAAAAGATATGATTGAAAAAGATATGATCACAACGTTTTTCAAGGCTTCATGTTTATATAGAGAGGTTTCTTTTGGGATTTTGTCAAAGTTCTAGCTTAGTCTGGAAGTTTGGGAACTGGAAAGGGTAGAAAAAGGTCTGAGAAGAAGAAGGGTGTTGCTGAAGGGTGATGAGGCTGAAGCTTCGTTGCCGACCAGAGTTAGCAGTGTGTGTGAGAGAGATGGAATAGAAGCTGTGTTTTGGCCTCTGTTGGGCTTTTCGCATCTAGTGTTTTGATTTTAATGGGAGA